AAGTCACGCATCACGTCATGGCACGCCTTTTAGAACACTGGTTTTAATATTGCTTTTCTCCTCTCATCATCAATATCTTCAACTAAGGTGTCTCACTCATCATTGTCGATTACTTCAAGATCTTCAAGATCTTCACTATCAACATCATCATTACTACCTTGTACACAGTTTCCTCTGTCTACATACTCAGTATCTAAATCTACACTCATATAGAAATCAGTCATGTCCACCTCAACATCACTTACATAATTTTCTACATCTTCAATATAGTCAATGTATTCATCACTCCCTACACTACCACATTTATCTTAATCGCTCCCTTCATTATCACCTTTCTCTTCCTCACTAGATATGGCCACTTTATCTGGTATTTCCTCGATTATGACCCTAGGTTTAACTCTTGGATACATAAAGTATGTAACTTAATTTCACAATGTTCAGTGTATACCATGATGATCTTGTTATGTTCAATGTATTATACAAGATCAAGTACATCTGCATAATTCCCTAAAGGTCTAAGACCAAACTCCAAATATCCATTTGGCAACTGAAAGTGGTAGTCAATGAATGATGGTACCTCATAACCAAGCTGTAGTCGTGCACAAAGTACTCATCCATGTCTACCAAGTCCACATGGTCTAATTTTTAATCAGTGTATGTTATCCTTGGGAATTTTGTGAAACTCCCTCCATGATGGAGCTTAATGGTGAACATGGTGGGATATCCTTCTGTAAAAAATCATATTCCAAACCAAAAATCATTACTTTAAACTGATTATAAAAGCTTTTCATTATTTTCAAACAAATGTATAAGAAACAAAGTACATTACCCTAAATACGGATTGCATCAAAACCCTATTGTTTTTTGCTCTGATTTCCCACATCTTGAGCATACTCAGCTAGCGAACTTTCGATTCACTTTGATGATCACATGCAATAGATTAAGTATCGATTAGGGTTTTTTCATTAAGAAAGAGAATTTAGTGGGGTGAGAGTGAAGGGTCATTTACTCAGTCGTGTGTGTATGCACATCAAAATGGCGCTAATCGATGACATAGAGGTGGAAAGATGAAAATACCCTCGTCTTTATTGCAACTAATGGTAGAATTGGATGGATGTTAATGTAAGGGACCAAAAATAATAGAAAGATTTAATTTTGGACCATTAGTGCACCAACAAAACTTTTTGGACCCCAACCACAGAAAATTGCTAACCAGAGGGACCATTTTTGCAATTTTATCAATAATCTATGATATTTTAAATTTATACTCATTTTGAAATTTTATATTTTAATAAATTAATAATAATATATATAATATTAAATAAAAAATAAAAAATAAAAATACCCGTCAATGGTAAAATTTTAAAATTATCAACATATATTTTATTTATATATTTCAAATAAATAATCAAGTTATTGGATTTTGAAATGAAAATAAAAAATATAAGGATGTCTTTTAAATTTTATATATAAGTTAAAGGAGTTAAATTAAAACTTATAAAGGAGTAACAAATACGATGGGATTGATAGTACAAATTTTTTTGGAACCAACAATTTTATTATAAGACACTCACTAGCAAGTCACTAGTGAGAGTCACATATTACATTAATTACATAAAAAAGAAAGGGGATTTAGTCCATTCTCCCCATATAAAATTTCCTTTCCCATATCTATGTTTGATCCATACATAAACCATGGATTTTACTCCTTCAAACACCAGATCCGGGTTGATAAATTTTAAATTGAAAATTCTATCATTTCTTCCTTTCCAAATACACCATAATGCACCAAAAATGACTGCGTTCATTGTTCTCCTCTTTTTTGGGGGATGTCCACAATCTGCTGCAAGGTTTAAGATCTCCTTAATACTGGTTAGTTGGCGAGGCATGATACCACACTAATTCCATATCCGGTTCCAAATTGTATCTGCAAACGGGCACGTGACCAACATATGATTTGTGGACTCAGTATCTGAGATACAAGCACTGCAGTTCAATGCCTGTATCTGTACTCCTCGCGTAATAAGAGCGTTCAATGATGGAATCAGATCCAGCCTTGCTCTCCACACAAAACAGCTCACTTTGAACGGGATCCAGTTGCACCACATGAAGGCTCCATCAGGTATCCAGTGACATGCACGCTCGATCCTTCCTCTTAGAGCAGCGACTCTAAATTTCCCATCAAACACAAAGTCTGAATCCCATCCCGTATCCACCTGTTTCCATCGAATCAATTCTGTGTCTGCAATGGATAATATACCCAGAGCATTTTTACATTTATCAATGTTCCGCCAAACTCCGCTTAGGTACCTGGAAGATATCCGACTAGGCTGAATCATATCAAGACTGTGTAGACCCTTTATGATCTTAACCCATAAAGAGTCACATTCGTTGACAAATCTCCATTTCCATTTTGCTAACAAAGCTAGGTGCTATAATTCTGTCCCAGGCCACCCTCTTAATTTTTGATTCATTTTCTGGACCTCCCCATATGAAATTTCTCCTGATTTTCTCTAAAGCCTCAATAACCCCCGATGGAGCAGCAGACAATGATAAATAAAATGTGGGGAGGTTACCCAAAACTGCCATTGCTAGAGTCACCCTCCCACCAAAGCTCAAGGTCTTTGCCTTCTATCTAGAAAGTTTATTTCTGAGTTTTTCAAGTATCGGGTTCCAAGAGTTTTTCCTGTTCATATTCATCCCTACTGGCATCCCAAGGTATGTGAATGGCAGTGCACTGGGCTCACATCCTAACAGTAAAGCCCCATTTTCAACATCTTGAGGATTAACACATATGCCAAAAACTTTCGATTTATTAAAGTTAACGCTTAAGCCGAAAGACACTTGGAAGCATTTAAGAATCCTCGCGAGGTTTTTAATATTTTGGCTAGACCATTCTCCAATGAAAAGGACATCATCCGCGAAGAATAGATGTGATACTTTAATATCAGAATTTGGAATAGATATACCTTGAAAGACACCTTTGACCGCTGCTTCCTTTAATGCTATATTCAACCCTTCCATGGCCAATATAAAGAGAAATGGCGAAAGAGGGTCTCCCTGCCTTACTCCTTTTTCAAGTTAAAATTCCACAGTTGGACTACCGTTCACCAATATCGAGGCCCTAGCTGACTCCAAACATCCTTTTATCCAAGTCCTCCATTTTATTCCGAAGTTCATCTGTTGCATCACATAATCCAAGAATTTCCAATTTACTGAGTCAAAATCTTTATTAAAATTTGCTTTGAAGAGCAAAATCTTCTTATTGAGCTTCTTCCCCCATGAACACAGCTCGTTAACTATGAGTGGTCCTTCAAGAATATTCCGCCCTTCTACAAACGCAGTTTGAACTTCATCAATACATTCACCCATCACCAATTGGATTCTAAATTCTGATATTTCCCTGAGAACGACTTCATTAAACCCTGGTCGAAGGATCCACGAATTAAAGAGTCTGAATGGAATAGGCCCATAATCCATCGAACTTAATTCGAGAAGAATTGGACAATGGTCAGATTGTTCCCTGGGAAAAGAAGTGCATGAGGCTTGTGGGAACTTTGATACAAATTCCGGACATACAAGAATCCTATCCAGTTTACTTAGTTTAGCACCAACATTTTGGTAATACGTGAACTTAAATCCTCCTATTTTTAATTCATGTAGTCCGCCATCTTGAATGAACTTGTTGAAGTCACGAGCTGTGATACAACAAAAATTGGAGTTTACCCTTTCATCCCTTCTTCTTACTGAATTGAAATCGCCCATGAGTACCCACATCGACTTTCTTGATCTCATTAACTGTAACAGATTCTCCCACAGACTCCGTTTCTCAGTAATAGATTGTGGAGCATATACATTCACAATGGCAATGTTCAGGCCTGAACCTTGACATACTCCATGATTCACTAAAAAGAATCGAGATTTGACTGATTCTGTAAAGGAAAAGTAAGACTTATCCCATATAGTAAGGATGCCCCCTAACCTACCCCTTGCTTCAACACAATCGAATCCATAATTTTCGTCCCCCCACCCCTTTGTGATAGCTGATTCCTCCACTCCCCGTTGAAGTTGTGTTTCCTGTATACATACTAATGTCACTTTATTAACCTGCCTTAACCGCCTGATCCAGTCGAGTTTATTTTGTTCTCCCATTCCCCTTATATTAACAAACATTAACTTCATTGATCTGCAACGTGCTCTCCGTCCACACCAGTGATTTCAACCAAAATTTCATTATCTCCATTTATCTCAAATCCAATGAGTCGACCAATTTCAGCGGTTTTTTCAATTTCTGAGATATGGGGAATGGTTGGGGGTCTAATGGATTGAGATGGGTAAGGAACGTTGTGAGGGGTTCGATTAAGATCAAGAGAGGAATAGTTACTTGACTCCGTACCTACGACCTCCTGATATATTTGATCGTCTATGTGGGAAGAGTAGAGATGGATATTATTTATGTTTAATGATGCCTGGCGAACCTTCCTGCGTTTAAGATAAGAACCATTTGGATCCATTTCTAGATTCCATACATTATTGGGCTCGTTATTCACCCTAGGGCCTGAATTTGGAATAGGTCCAAATCCACCTTCTGGTAATAATTCATGTATTTTCCCAAGGGACATTTGTGGGGTCCCATGCTCCACGTCATCAGTCATGTCTCCACCTTCCATCGTATCTACCCGCATTTGAGTAGTCCCATTAATTTGAGACAATTGGTCTTCCTTATTCCGACCCAGTTCCCCATTCGGATTTTCCAGTCTCCCGTCGTTAGTGATTGCTTCGACTCCCACTCCACCGGGAATGTCTGCCGGAGCCGCCACCGGGGATTCAACTTCTATGGCTTCATGAGCATTCACATCAAACTGTGATTCAGGGACTCTTTCCGACTCGAAATCTGGCTCAATTTCTCCTTCTTCTAACGTGTCACTCATATCATCAGACTTGTTCTCTTCCTCAACAATCATTGTATCGTAGATGGCATCCTCATCGTCTTCATCATCTCATTCCATATCATTGTCATAATTATGAGTCGAGAAGGGCTTCCAGTCATCATCAATCTCATATATTCCAACTTTGAATATTTTGTTGTCTGCCACAACTGTAATTTCTTTATTCATTCTTTTTAGAGACGTAGTAATGACACAAATCTTCATATGCGATACATCGATCTTCGCCATGCTTATTTCAATCGAATTTGATATCACCCCCATCTTCCGTGTTATTGCTCTGAAGTTTCCTTCGTCCCACAGATGCAGGGGCAATCCCACCACTTTTAGCCAAGAAATCTTGTCCTCTTTTAAATCAATCTTATCCCCCATGTCTATCCATTTGAGCCATAGACTCCATTCTCCCTTATCCCCCATGAATTTCCTCACATCAAAAGGATTTCTGAATCTTATACCGATTTTTAGTCCTCCTAGGTATTTTGCTTTGTATCTTCCATCATCTCCATTCAAGATTGAATCTAGCAAACTAGTCAGATGAGCGTAGCTTCTGGCTTCGCCCACTAGTGTTAACTCACTTTTCAGCCATTGTTCCATGAAGGTTCCTGTTCGGAGCGGAATCGGTGAAGGGCGTGGAATAGGAGGAGGAGGGGGGAGGAACAGGGATTCCGGCCGCCACTGAAGCGAAGGTTCTTCCGTCCCTCCAGACGTCATTAGAGGCTCTGTGTACTTCATGCTTTCTTCTTACGACTGGAGTCTCCCATTTATTCTTATTTGTCTCCTTCCTCTCAAACTTTGCTATATTTATCGTCAATCTTCTCCCCATGCATGAGATTCCTTGTAACCTATCTTCCATTTTTTTGCATCTCTCACTCCAGTGAATCTAATAAATGCAAACCACCTCCCGACTGAATCTCTTTTCCTTGCAAAGTATATATCGCTAATCGTCCCATGCTTTTCAAAAAGTTTCCTCAGAGTCTCTTTCTTTGATCCGTCTGGTAGGTTAGTGACGAACATTGTTGTTGTAGAATCACCTTGGTGCTATTGCTCGCGGCGAACCACCTCCGACCATCCATCTGCCCTTGATAGCGTTTTCCTCCTCATTATTTTGGTGTAGAAATCAAATATCTAATCAATTTTGTAATAATTTGTTTATACACGAATTAGATCATGCAAATAGGGAGAACCTATAGTTAATTGTTCATTTACGTTCATTAATTAACCAAAAACAAAAATCAAAAAGACATGATTTGACATGCAATTTGAAAAAAATAATAAAAAATAAATAATAAAAAATAAAGGGGTAAGTGACTGATTTAATGGCAAAAAGCGTGTGGGGAAAACCACCGACTTCACTCTTCAAGATAGGAGGTCCAAATATCAAACATAATATAGAAAAATGTACTTATTTGTATCTAACATTTTTCTAGGATACATAACAATTTCTGCTTTAGATATTATAGTGTATAATTATATAAAACATAAATTATGTATGACTAAAAAATATTGTGTACGGATCATCACCCCATAAAAAAACACATATGACAGTTGAACGAGATTTTATATATATATATATATATATATATATATATATATATATATATATATATATATATATATATATAAAAGTATAACAAACTATATGACTGATATACAATTATATAGTTGAATATCTTATCAAAGCATCTTTAATATGGATTATGTTATAATTTGTTACAATTAAATTTTTTTACTTGATCATACAATTTTATAAAACATACTACCTCCGTCCCAAATTAATTATCCACATTTAACTTTTCAAATATTTATTTTTCAACATTAACCTTAAATACTTTTCTTTTTGATATATAATAGCTGATGCAAAATATATGAATAGATTGTATTTTAAATATCTTTTCATTGTTATAAGTTTCATCAACTAATATATAACACAAATAAAAATATTTAAAGAAAAAGTTGAAGAAAAAAGACTTTAAAAGTCAAAAATGAACAATTAATTTGGGACGGAGAAAGTATTTTATTCATCTTTTTTATTAAGTATTCAATATATATTGAGTCTATTTTAGTCTTATTTCATGTTTTGTATATTTAACTCTTTATCATCTAGTCATATTTTATTTTAGCATTTTAAATATAATTTTATTTATTTACTAATTAATTATTTATATATAATATTTTCAACATTTTTTTATAACTATGACATGTTTATTATTTCGTATTAATTTTCCAAATGATGTATCATAATATATTTCTCTTGAAATAATGTTTTATGATATTTCTAATTATATATAAAATATGTGTATTTTAAAAAGTAACTAATTAAATGATGAGGTTTTATAGAACAATTTAGATTGATATGGATAATGCAATTATTAAAAACTATTAGAAGATGTTAAATATTACAAAAATCGTTTAATTAGATGTTAAAGTTAATGAAATGATGATATGTTAATATTTTTAAGTTATAGTATCGGTTTACTATTAGAGATGTTCTAAAACATAAAATATTAGTAAGAACAACTCTATTATATATAAACCAGTTAACTACAAAATAAAATTGAAACCTTACACTAATCTTATACAAGAAATCTAATCCTAACTTTCAATCTCACATATTACACATATCTTTAGAATTACACTCATAGACATACATAAGATCTAGATTTAAGATTTTTCTATAAAGAACTAGTAAAGAAATCAACGCCCGTACATAAAGATTTTAGGGTTTAATGAAGAAGACTATCTAATTTCTCAAATCCTAGCTAGATCCTTTTATTTATATCACAACATTTAACATAAAATCCCCTTTGTTATAAAATAATAATCCAATAACCTTTAATATTCACAGCATTGCTCCGCACTCGTCCAAGTATGTCTAGATTATCTAAATCAAGCTTCATGAAGTCAAAATGGTCGGATGGAAAAACTTTCCAACGGAAGTGCAAAAGCCCCTTGGTTGGATGGCTATACTTTGAAATTATTTAAAGCTTACTAGAATATTGTTCAAAATGATGTGATGAACATTGTAAAATATTTCGAGAACTTGACCTCTTTGGCGAGAAGTTGCAATTTCTCGTTTATCCCTCTAGTCACATAAATCAAAGACTTAATCTCCCTCCCATACTATCGGTCGATCATCTTAATATGGAGTATGTACAAAACTACTGCAAAGATTCTTACAACGAGGCTTAAAGTGGTTATTAGGTGTGTAATTGGTGATGTGCAATCAACATTCATACACGGGAAGAACATTCTCGATGGACCGTTAATAATAAATGAGATTTGCACTTGGGCTGAGAAAACAAAGAAAATATACTACTTTTTAAAGTTGATTTTGACAAGGTCTTCAATTCAATAAAGCAGGAATACTTGTATTCAATGATGATGTGTAACACCCCATTTTCACTTTACAGTAAAATTTAATATAATCGTTTGTTTATAAAATTTGAAATATAAATATATTACTTTTTAGCCCAAATAATCATCATAAACATGTAGTAGGCCTTAATACGATTATGTAGATAAAAAGAACTCCGAAATATGACTTTATACGAGGAAGTTATGATTGTTTGAAGTTTTACGGTCAGCCCTATACGACAAAGTGTATCGTAAAATATGAATCGGAGATAGGTTACTTATTAGCCTAAGTAATCTAGATAAAAAAGTTGTAGTAATCATAATTCCGAGAGCGTACATACAAAGAACGCCTAAACCTGACTTTGTATGAAGAAGTTATGATTTTTCGAAGTTTCGGTACAGCAGTGTGCGACACGGAAATCGAAATTAAATTCGGTTGAGTGTTAACCAAAATAATGCATGCGAGAGTTGAAGATCTCTTAAATACAAACTCGTTGATATAAAGACAGTTAAGAACGAAGTTCGTATGAAGGTGTTATGTTTTTTTGCACGGATCTTAACACTATAAGCTCTATAAAATATGAATTTAAAATAGATTGAGAATTAGTTGTTGAGATTTAAAAGAAAGTTGTAGTGCTCAAAATTAAATACGTGTGGATATAAAGAACGTCGAAAACGGGGCTCGTATGCGAAAGTTATGGTTGTTCGAAGATTCCAAAAAAATACTTGTTGGGGTGACGTGGCGGCACCAGAGAGCGCCACATGGAAAAGAGCAGGTTGAACCCTTCTACCGACACGATGACGTGGCACCACAAGGTTTGGATGCAAATCAAAGAACCTTACGAAGGCTTGACATGCCGTGAATCCTCTTGAAAGAGAGGGGTGCCATCGGGAACGTGGACACAACACATGGCGCCACGACATAACGACACAAGGAAATGTCGGAGACGACGTTCGACCGGATGACATGGAACAATAAAATAGTGAAACATGGAACATACCCAATCCGGAAACGTCGGTCAAAGACGCGATGCACCTCTCCTGAACTCCTATAAATAGATTCGAAAATCAGCTCTTTTACTCACATTTGCAATCTCCTTGCTCTCAAATCTCTCCCACCCTTTGAGTATGATTTTCCCTAAGCTTTTGGATTAATTTAGCAAGGCTTTGAGGTATCTAGGAGCCTGATGAAAAGTAGCTTTTGGGTCGAGATTCTCCCCATGACTTTCCGGTTTTCGCTAGAAATTTCTATAAGTTAAGCTGCACTTACTACGCTTTAAGTGTAACTTATATTTATATTCATAGTCATTATTATGAATGTATAAATAAGATTTATCAGTGATTCCAGTCGTAATACTGATTAATCTACTTACGGGAATTATGTCTAAGCTAGATTTAGTAAGGTGTTTAAAGTGGATTTTCCAAATAGTATACTTAGTATACCAAACAAACCCTACCTCTGATATGATATTACATGGTTGTTCCTTATTTGATAGATCCCGATGTATTCATTGGGATTAGTGGAAGATCTAAAATTCATTACCATATTGCCACAAGATTAACAACTTATAGTATTATAGGTTAATATTTGTAAGGCGCGTTACCCGCCAGTTGGACAGTCGGTTGGATAGCTGATAGTCGCTAGAGTGATTGTACAGGTGAGTTTCCTCACTATATTATATACTACGGTATGTATCCTTTGTATGTTAGAATGTAGTTGCACTATAGTATGTTGTTCGACAAATAAATTAGTTTACTCCGTGGCTTGTTGCCTTGTTTGTCTGTTTGTCTGCTATATATGTACTTATATATTGTGTGGGTGGTTGAGGGCGGACCAGCTTCGTGCTGAAGGCTAATATACTCGGGCGGACCAACTTTATGCTGAAGGCCAAAGGAGTGGTCCAACTTTATGTTGAAGGCCAAGGGGCGGACCAGCTTTATGTTGAAGTCCATTATGTGTATACGTTGCATATGTATTGTGATATATGGTATTTTGGGGGAACTCACTAAGCTTCATGCTTACCGAGTTGTTTATAAATAATTTTAGGTATTTTATGGATCGTGAGAAGGGAAAGGCTCGGCTGTACACACACATCGACATCATGTTTCCCGCATAGTTTAATTATACTCTGATTTAATTGAATAAAAAAAAGAAAAATTTATGGTAAAAATCGGGAAGTAACATGATGAAAATGGGATTCGGATAAGAATATAGAACTTGGATAAGAAGTTGCCTTAGTTTATCCCACATATTTATTTTAGTAAAAGGTTCCCAACCGATCGAGCTCTCAATCTCAAAAAAGGCGACCCACCATCATTGTTTATCTTCATCATCACTACAAATGTGAAAAATGTTGGACAGATACTTAGATGTTTTC